CAAATGTTAGTATTTTTAACGGGTCACAGACACTTATCCTTTCTAAAAGAAATCTTGTCAGTTAACGGTTAACAATCGTCAGTTAGGAAAAATAACCGAAATGAACAACCCTAATCTGTCCATCCATTCGTCATCCATCCAACCATCTGTCAGTCTATCTATCTATCTATCTATCTATCTGGGCTATAAAATATTAAACTATTTTGAAAACTTTCAATCTAAAAATGAGTTATTTGAATTTAAAGGGATAGTTCACCCAAAAATGAAAATTACCCCATGATTTACTCACCCCTCAAGGCATCCTAGGTGTATATGAGTATCCTTTGAGTACCCAGAAAAGCGCTATATAAATGTAACTAATTAATTAATTATTAATTATATGACTTTCTTCTTTCAGACAAATACAATCAGAGTTATATTAAAAAATGTCCTGGCTCTTCCCAGCTTTAAAATGGCAGTGAATGGGTGTTATTTTTCAATAGTCCAAAAGAAGTCCAATAAAGTGCATACAGCCATCATAAAAAGTGTCCCACATGGCTCCGGGAGGTGAATAAAAGCCCCTTGAAGCGAATCGATGCGTTTTTTTAAGAAAACTATCCATATTTAAAACTATAAACAGTAATCTCTAGCTTCCGCTAACTTTCGTAGGCATCGTTCCGCTAACTGCCATATTCACCTCCTGGAGCCGTGTGGGACACTTTTTTTTATGATGGATGCGCTTTATTGGACTTCTATTGGACTACTGAAAAATAACACCCATTCACTGCCATTTTAAAGCTTAGAAGAGCCAGGACATTTTTTTATATAACTCTGATTGTATTTGTCTGAAAGAAGAAAGTCATATACACTTAGGATGCCTTGAGGGTGAGTAAATCATTGGGTAATTTTCATATTTGGGTGAACTATCTCTTTAAGTTCATTTTAATACTTCCTATTCAAATTCGCTGGAATTTAAAAGGCATTTGTAATTCAGTTCTGTTTGCAGTTCTGTTTATTTCCTGTTAACAAAGGAAAGAAAGTGTGCTCATCAAATTATTTCATAAGATCTTGAACTCAACCTGAGTTTCCTGAAGAGAGCGACACATCTTCCTCTACCCATTTTCCCCTGCTTCTTTGATTGTCCCCTTTAGATTCACACACAACGGCTTTGAGAGAGCATGCAATATGAATTGTAATAGAGCAATTACCATTATGAATGATAACTAGGGACATTCCGCTGATCTAGGGTCAGGGCCTGTGCAATAGCTCTTATGATTACGGAGTATGGAATCAGGTTCAGGAAATAGCAGTGCTCCGCTAGCCAGCGGGAATGTTTAACCTACATCACGGATCCCTGTCCTATTGATTAGACCATTAGACTTGAACCACTCACAGGAAATTGACACAATTCTCTTTCCATATGAAATCTTTGCATTAATGCTCCACAATTTAATGGCAAAGCTATCCGTTTTCTTCAGAATATTCTGTCTATATATCTGTCCACTTTCCAGCTTTCCTCTATAAACTGAATAATATGTCATTTTGTGTGTGATGTGGATGGCTACACTGCTGATTTATCGATTTTCAAAAATAATGTCCTCAAGCCTCTTCACTCAACAGTTACTTTAAGAGGCTATTTTGTGATCATTGCCATTAGCTGATAACCATTCATAAGCTTGGAAGACTAACCGAAGCCTGAACAATCAAAGACACATTTTTATTTGGTAATTTTAGATTAAATACAATGCACAAAAGACATAACAGTACTATTATTTGACATCTGCCACCCGACTCTATAGATATTGGCTATATGCCAAACCCCAACCAAACCCATATCAGTTACCAATACACACATACATGCATAAGGCTATGTACATAAATAATTTAAAATTATATAAAAGTAAATATATTTGTAAGAAAAAAAAAAAAAAAAGTGAGTTTCCAGCATTTGATCATTTTCTGGTCTGTTTCTCTTTCTACTCTCCCTAAACTGTCCTATCAAATAAATGCAAAAAAAAATAAAATAAAACAAAATCCTGAAAATATAAAATTGTTTATGAGCTATTTCATGGCTGCTGTAATGAGAGCAACATGATAGAGGCCTAATCAACTTTTGTCACAGCTGCATTTACCAATTGCAGTGAAAACTATATGAGCCTGTGAAGATCTCAGGACAACAAACTGAGCTGCAAAACAAAATTAAAAAAAAGTCAATTAAAGGAGTATTTCTTTTGTAATTTTGGGGATGTTACTTTCACCCACATTTTTACATTCAGAGGTAACTATAAATCATTCATAGATTGAATTCCTTCAAAATGGCGGAATCTGCAAACAAAACACGGAACTGCATGTTTAAACATCACAATCAATGTCGAACAACACATGCTCAACCAATGGCAGGAGTTTGGGGGTGGGATTGTCTCTTAGGGTGACCAATGGCAGAAGTTCAGGAAATATGTTTTGTCCTTTAATATAACTTAATCAGAAAACATTAACAACTTTTTCAACAACATTTGCATATGTAAACATGGTTTAATTTTTTTAAAATTAGTTTAAAGCCTGTCAAATATGAACACATGATTTAGAGGTAGGGTAGGCAATTTCTGAGACAGCTAGCAACAGAAAGCTAGCTTTGAAAGCTTAAGATCCCACCCTCCCTGCAAATCACTCTCCAAAGCCACGCCTCCTCCAAAACACATGAACGCGCACAGGCAGACAAGAGACTAACCAGCGACACGATGAGAGACGTTTGTGAAGGTTTGAATGCAATGCTGTCAGATTACTTCATGTCTCATTCACCGGTGAGAAAACATTACAGTACAAAGCGCATATTATTACAATAATAACACCTTCCATTCTCTCGTGATCTGCAATAGCATAATGGGACGCCCTGATGACGTATCATGTCTGCACGAACAGGGTGCACCGAGGTATGCAAATACATACGTTGACAGGCAGGTAGGACAGTCTATCGTAGCCCTCGGACCAAGGGATATGATTGGACAAACATTTTTTGGTCCTACACCTTCCACAGACAATATAAATACATATAAATACAGTTAGACCATGGGATGTGAAGAGACTTTCAACCAGCATAACAAAAAATGTTTTGAACGTTTTTGAATTTTTTGACTTTCCGTACCCACTGTATATATATATATATATATACACAGGCTACAAAAACCCATTCAACACACACTAACACAAAACTGAGCCAATGAAGGTTCTCAATGTACATCTGAAATATATCAAAGAAACACATGGTGTAACCCTCCCTTCTCTCTCTCTCTCTCTCTCTCTCTCTCTTTCTTTCACCGGTGAGAAAACATTACAGTACAAAGCGCATATTATTACAATAATAACACCTTCCATTCTCTCGTGATCTGCAATAGCATAATGGGACGCCCTGATGACGTATCATGTCTGCACGAACAGGGTGCACCGAGGTATGCAAATACATACGTTGACAGGCAGGTAGGACAGTCTATCGTAGCCCTCGGACCAAGGGATATGATTGGACAAACATTTTTTGGTCCTACACCTTCCACAGACAATATAAATACATATAAATACACTGAGACCACTCAACGCAGTTATTGCTATCGGGATGTGAAGAGACTTTCAACCAGCATAGCAAATGTTTTTGAACCAAATAACCTACCCTGCCTTTCATCAGCCCTAGAAACCATTACCAGGCCTTCTTTTTCCATCCCACCATTAAACCAAGCACAGAGGAAGTAGCACATGAGGAAGAAGAAATCTACCTTAGAACACTTTCCAGGTGTCCCAAGTCCAGTGGACCTGGTGGTCCCGAATCTGGGGATCCCAATTCACGGAACCTCCTCAGGTCATGACCACTACGACCTCTTTCTCTTCTCTCTCTCTCTCTCTCTCTCTCTCTCTTTCTCTCGCCGTCCATTCTGTTCCTCCCTTTGCTCCGTCTGTCTCATGCTGATAGCAATGAAAGTGATCTACGGGGGAGGCCGTACACACACAAGTACACCGCTACAGTGAGTGTGTGTGTGTTTGTTGCACTGTGGGGAGGTTTGTCCTGCTGTGTTAAGCTCATGTATGGACTAAATCGACAAAGGCTTTCAGTCACACACACACAGTATCCCACATCCTAAGAGACTTACACCACAGCAGCACTAATGTGACGCATATAGGCCACTGTCCTTCAGACTGGAGCATGAAAAAACATACTACACTCAACACTCAAATTACTATATATCAAATTACGTATAATGACATTAGTCATTATATAATTGTCTGATTATGAGTATTTGCTCTAATTGGAATGTTTTGAGAACAATGATCACTGCATATTTTAAATTCCATTTACATACTGTCATCCAAATAAGTGATTTCGAAGTGAGTATTAGAAATGCCATGAAATGCACATTTTCATATATGTCTCTTTTCGCTGCACTGAGAGTGGTCGGCTTTACATTCTCTGTGCAATTCGCTTTAAACATGTATGAAAAATGCGCACTTTATATTCAGATTCATGCAAATCTAAATGGTTATGGTCATTCCAGGTTATCATTGAAGGAAATATTATGCAACAACACAGAGGAGATGACAGTATATTTCCAGATTTTGAATCAGGAGGATATAAATTTTTTTTAATTAAATTAAATTAAATTTAACAAAAATTTTGAAGTATAAAACTTATATTATTATTATTATTATCTAAAATTACATCATTCTATACTTTGAAATATTTGTTAACAGCCTAAAACACTTAACACTTAAATACAACAATATAAAAAAAGAAAACCTAAAATACGTTAAAATATAAAAAGAATATGTTATTATATATATATTATTGTTATTATTACTATTATTTAATATCATGTCATTCTACCCTGTGAATTTGTTTCTATTTGTTTACAAAGCAAAACATACATTAATAAATTGTATAATATCTCAATAAATTTCAAAGTGAATAAGTTAAATGTTCTTAAGTTTATACAATTAAATGCCAGACAGACGTGATAATCATGATGGATGTGACTGACCTGATATGATCGTATATCCAATTCCACGTGGTCGACCTAAGTCTTGATCGATCGCTGTGATCTTACGGACTTCATAACCCTACAGACACACACAGACGACAAGCATTTAATGAGAAAAATAAAAAAAACATGAAAATTATGCATACAAGTTCATAAATAATTTGTCTTTAGTTTGAACAGTATATCTATTGCTTTATAGTTTGTTTTTAAAATGCTTTGCATGAAAAGTGTGCTTGTGCTATTTTAAAATAAATGCCACTTGTTTTTTATTTTGTCTAATGCGATGACAAACAGACATTTTAAGTGTTCAAATGCTTTTGTGTGCAACTGTTCAGGAAAGGACCTGGTGAGTGATGTTACAGGGACATCAGCTTCAAAAACAAATGCATCAAATGAGACATGAAATACAACAAATGGAGAAATATTCTGAATTTGAGGACTCTTTGATCCTGAATGAGAAACAGTACAGATACTTAAAGATAAAAGTGAGAGAGCTTCTGGTCATTGATCCAGCTAATAGTGTCTGAGAGCTGTTTATGCTTCATTTCTGCCAACACTCCACCGCTATTACAGCACACAATCAATTACAGCACGTTTAGAGCAGGAATACAGCACACAATCAATTACAGCACGTTTAGAGAAGGAATGTGAGGAGGAGCGAGGGAGAAATGGATGACAAAAGTGTGGCTGAAGTATTTCGCAAGCCATTCTCTTGCCGTACGCACAAGTGGAATGTTCAATCATGCACACGTCTTTCTTCTTCTCTTTCCTGTCCTCTCATCCTTAAACATTCTACCCGGACACCTTCTTGTCTACTTCTCCATCCTCCCTCCATCCGAGTCTCTTCTCTTGCACCATTTCAGATCAAGCGCTTGACAGCCAAATTGTGTTTGCCCCTAAAAAGCCTTTAAATGCTACCCTGACAAAAGAAAACGGCAAACAGCGGTGCAAAACCTCCCCACTTTTCCCGCAAAACATCATTTTTCTCTGCGTTTTAGCTGTTGTCAAACTTTGGTCCATTTGGCAGGTGGATTCAGCTTACTACAGTATGAGCATGAACCGCAGAGCTGTGTTTGTGCCAGAGGGTCAGGTTTGATGGGTTCGGATGGACAGCGAGTCCCTGCTGGTAGATGACGAAACTACACCCCTTCATGGGACATCCAAAAGTTACGGAGCCAAGGAAGTCACCTGTAGGAGAAAAAAATTAAAAATCCGTGGCGACGGTTTTGCAATCCGTCCCCTCAGTTTATAAACCGTACTCACGAATTCTTAAACTGTTCCCTCGGTTTAACAAATCGGAAAGATGTGCATCAAAATCTTGTTTAATTTGTGATAATCTTAGCCCTTATTATTACTGTATAATGAACCTGGCATTGTGACTGACTTTAGAGTCATTTGTTCCTCTTTTGTAAGTCATTTTGGATAAAAGCTTCTTCTAAATGCATATGTAACCTAAATGTATAATAATAATAATA